CGGCCATAACGGTCACCAGAGTGACCGTTGTGGCCAAAACGTCGTTTGACCATTTTGTCCCCAAAAATGGTCAAAAACGGCTATTTTGTGAGGTTATTTTGGTCATTTGCTTAGGGGGCTGGTTCTATAAATAGAGAGGCTTTTTATTTGTTTTCTTCACACCAAAACTCATCTACTTCTCTCTTATACTCTTATACTCTCTCTTATACTCTTATACTCTCTTATTTATACTTTCTAATCCTTTCATCAAATGGCTTTCAGATCTGATTATGAAGAGCAAAACCTATCTCTCGATCCTGAAATGAGTCCTCCTACTGGGTCTACTCCTACCGAAGTTAATCCCGAATCCGGTGGCGACGAATCTGCACCAAGAGCTCCTAAACGGCCAAGATCCGATGTGTGGAATTTTTACGAGAAGATCGACGTCACCAAGGATGAACACGGTAGGATCCTCACCCAGAAGGCTAAGTGTGCTTTGTGCGGCAAGATTTTTCAAGCTCATCATAAGAGCGGCACCAACCACCTCAAACGCCATTTAGATAAACACAACAAAGGCCAGCCTCCTCAAGGTGATATCCGACAATCCATGATTTCTCAATCCTCCTCTTCTGGTAGTCTCGGTAGTTGGAACTATGACGCTGTCAGAGCCAGGAAATACGTAATCAGGTTTATCATTCTTAAAAACCTTCCTTTTAAATTAGTAGAAAATGATGAATTTGAAGATATGTTTTGGGATGGTTTTTATCCTGCATTTAAAAAAATTTCTCGTCAAACCTATCAACGTGATATTTTAAAATATTATCAGGAGGAACAAGAAAAAATAATTTCTTATTTTAAAAATTTAAACTGTAAATTTTCTTTAACTTCTGATATTTGGACATCTAGAGCACAAACTGGATATTTATGTATCACAGCACACTGGATTGATGAAAATTAGCAAATATTTAAAAGAGTTGTTTCTTTTATTGTAATATAAAAGTCGCATACTGGTATTAATGTTGCAAATTTAATAATTGAAGAACTTATGAAATTAGAAATTTTAGAAAGAATATTTTCTCTTTCACTAGATAATGCAAGTAATAACAATGTAGCTGTTGATTTTATCAGATCAACTTTATCATTACCATGTTATGGTGATCTTTTTCATATTAGGTGTATCTGTCATATTTTAAATTTAATTGTTCAAAGTGCATTTACTGAAATTAAACCCATGATAGAAAAGGTTAGAACAGTTGCTTACATGCATAATGCTTCTGAACAAAGACTTAAAAGATGGAAATAATTTTGTAAAAGAAAAAATGTAAAGCCCAGACTAATTCCAAAAGATGTTGACCATAGGTAGAATTCCACATATGCAATGTTAAGTATAGCAATAGAATATAAAGATATTATAACTGATTTTATAAACTATTATGCTTCTAGTTCTAGTTCTGGTAGCACTTATGGAATAACTGAAGATGAATGGACAATTATATGTAATTTAAATGAAATGTTACAAGTTTTTTATAATGCTACAGTGTTATTATCTGACTGTTATTATCCAACCATTACTTTAGCTGCTTTACAAATTTTAAATATTCAAAAAAAAATTGGGAAATATCGTATGGATGATACTTTTAGACCTATGATTTTTTAAATGGAGAGCAAATTTAATAAGTACTTTAGGCATATTCCTCATATTTTTGGTTTGGGGGTTCTTATTGATCCATGCTTGAAGGATATTGGTCTTCGAAGTTTGTTACAATCCTTGTATGGTAATCAGATTATAGACTTAGATGATGGAACCACCCTTACTGCTACTACTTATCATTTAGTTAACCTTATATGATGAGTATGCAGCTAGATATGGTGTAGCTACACAACAGTCTTCAGCTTCGGCACCTTCAGCTTCGACTTCGAGCACAGGTCGAGGTAAAAGTGTAAGTTTTGATAGGTATGCAATGGTAGCTGAGCTAACTGGTGGATCTGGACTTGGATCGTCATCATTGGAGGTTTCTGAAATAGATGAATATTTATCTGCTTCTTTAGTTAAATATCAAGGAAATGCTTTAGATATTTTGCAATGGTGGAAAGTATATGGATCAGTTTCATATCCTATACTTTCCACCATGGTTCGTGACTTACTAACAGTGTAGATTTCGACGGTAGCTTCGGAATCCGCCTTCAGCACAGCAGGACATTTGATCAACGACCACATGACATGCTTAGATCCGTACACTGTACAAGCGGTGATGTGCTTACAAGATTGGTAGAGGTACGAGAAACGAATGCAAGGCATCGATCGGATGGCTGGAATTGAAGATAAATTTGAAGAATTGGGACTAGCAGATAGATATAAAGAATAAATTATAATCTTTATATCTTAGGCCTTAGCTTAAAATTTGTAAAGAATTATTTTAAAAATAGTTACAAATGATAGTGATATAGGTGAGTAGGTGCCAACCTAGTTGGGATTTACTTATCTATTGTGATGCGATTAATTCCAAAATAAATTTATACTTGTAATTTGTAAATGATTTATTAATTATTAATAAAGAATTTGTTTTTATCATTTTTTATTTGTAATTTATGCCATTTTAAGTGATTAATAAAATTATTGTTTTTTATTATTTTTCTTGTCTTTTTTTTGTATAATTTAAAATTTAAATAAAATCTAAAAATTTTGAAAAAAAATAAAAAAAATTGAAAATAATCCGGGCCAGCCCGGAACCCGACCCGGGGTACCCGGGTTCGGGCCCCGGATTTGCCCGGCCCGGGCCCAGATGGACAGACCTAATTATGGAACACCCAAACAAGTGTTGAATGATATGAATCTTAGAGGGGTTCATGGAAAAATGTCATTTAATGATTGGATTCCATAGATGAAAATTAAAATGTGTTTAATTAGTAGTATGTAAGTTTTAGTCCTACATTGGTTAATTAAATACATTTTAGTTGGTTTAAATTAACACATGTGTTATTTATGGCATAACAAAGGTGTTAGTATTATATACTTGTATTTGTATATAAGCGAGTGTGTGAGCAAGCGGGCTCGGGCGCGTGCTCTTTTTGCTCGTGCAGTACTTTAAAACAGCTTAAATGTTTTGCATGTGCCCACTTAAAACCAACTGAATGTTTCGTACGTTACAAAGATTGAATAGGTTTTATTGCAAACGTTACAAACGTTGCAATAACTGGAATTCAAGCATTTGTCTCCCGTGAACCTTATAAAAGGGCCTCTTCTGATCATTTGAAAAACACAGAACAGAAAATGAAATCTCCTGTCTTCTTCTTCTTCTTTCAATTTTATAAGTTGTTTAGTATTTGAGATTCTAGCGATCTGAAGAAGCAGTCGAGGTGTTCACAAGAAGAGAGCGCTTTAGAGTGCAGCCATCTCATCCTCGAAAGTACTGTGCAGACCCAACGCTACTGTAGGTGAGGCATAGTTTCTTCAAGATCAATCCTCCGTTAAGAGATTGATTCGGCACTTCTATAAAGTATTTCGAACTTGAAGTATTTTTAATAAGATGTTTCTAACTTTCTGCTGTTTTCTTTCATTTCTGTATGGTTTGTTCTGTACTGCTTTGGATCTGTTTTTATGCTTAATTTTCCCGACAACAAGCACCACAATAAAGAGACCAGTCTCCAACACAACACAATGGGCTTTTTATGTGGTTAGCCAAATGTGTATCTCCACAATTCCTCACCTAAGTAAATTCACTATCTTTTCTCCAAAAACATCTATCACTCAAGTGCTCCAAGAAACTTTTATCATAATCATTTTCCATTGTCGATTGTCCTTCAATCTTCTTTAGTTGCATTCTATATTTTTTATGAGATCTGGGGAGAATCCTAATAGATACCGTTGAAATCCTGAGACTCAGCAGTGAGATTAGTGGATAATCACGAGTTAGCGATGGGGTCCGATTCGATACAGACCATGCAGGGGTCCCCTCATTCCCTTAGACGGCTATTCCCCTATGTGAAATAAGAGAACTACAAAACAAACATGTTAGAGGACCGAAATTGGGTTCTTCGGTGGGTTCTTCGGTGATTTCTCTGACGATTAGATCTTTATAAAGCTTGAGTGGTGAACTAATGAACTGTGTAAGTCCAGAAAGTGCAAATAATGAAATTAGTTGGCCAGAAATAGCGTACATGTGGCCCCGAAGGGGGTCTAAAGACCAGCTCTTTTGCAGTAGGCACTGAGCTAATATTTATACTTAACTGGGAGGGGTTAAATGCATAATTGTCTGGGTCCAAGCAGACAGCTGGTTGGTAGATAGTTTAACAGGTGTCGATTGGTTGTGCGATAAGTCACCATTAATTTAATATGATGGTGATTGAGGGGGTGTGGCGCTAACGGTAGGTGGTGAGTCATGGAGGCTAGGGACACTAGTCATGATGACAATGGACAGCTGCTGGTGTAGAGTTCAAGGACGAACCACCTCTCGAATTGGGTCCGTGAGTGGGACGGCAAGTACTGTATTTTTTGTCGGCCTCACAAATTGTCGACCCGGTTCTGAATGAATGAGGGTGGTTGACTAGGCTAAGGAGGTCGATAGAGAGCTTGCCTTGAATCAACCAGGCTGGGGAGGGTCAACTGTCTAGGTGACCCAAGTCGCCCCTAACTGGGGTGAGCTGGCATGATTGGTTAATGTTGATATGAGACACAGTGTCGGCTTCATGAGTGTTGATTAACACTTAGGTTAATTATTGCCATAACCGATACGAATCCAAACTAGAACATCATTCATTAAGAAAAAACCATTGTCATTTAAGCTCTCTTAAACAATTTAGCTATTTTGTTAGTACTTGCACTCTCTCTGAGCTCCCAACAGCTTCCGATCAGGTTCGAGATGTCGATCTAGAATCATGCAACAAAACTAAAACGTAAGAATATAATTTAGTTTTTTTCCCCTTTTCAGTTAAACTGAGGGTAAAAAATAATACATGGCCACATGATTCTATTCTACATGACACTTCAACACAACAGAACAGTAAAATTGTTAGATGTTCAGGATATGCAGATGTCAGTGAAGCAGTTTTGATGGTATAAGTGGCTACATTTTCATATATAAACCATAAGAATCAACAAAGCTTAGCAAACAACAAATTGATCTAATTAATCAACCCAACACAAACTAGACCCTAGCAAAAAATCACCGCAACAGCCACTAAAACTATGACAACATAAGAAGAAGCTACACTCCTCATGTTTGCTAATGAGCTCGGAGGTGGTTTCATATCAGAAGGCGATGCCTCAGGAGAGTGAGCTTGCGGCAGCACGTCGATCTCCAGCTTCTGGCCCGCGACGCTGCAGTGGATCGAGACAGTGCAGATGTACCATTTTTTCCCAGTTGTTAAAATCCTGATTACATCTTTTCCTGTGTCAAGAACTGTGGCTGCTGGTTTCGCGGCGCAGTCTTTGAATCCAGTCTCGTCTACTTCGATGACGTTGTGATCCCCTCTCTGGTACTTGAACACTGCAAGTATTGAAAATCTTCATCTCTTTGTTTCAACTTTATTCTAAACTTGTAAACCTCACACAAAAGCATGTAAGTCGGTTAATTTAGATTTACTCCATTCATTGTTAATAACAGTAGAGAGTAATTAAACTTCAATTAGAGTTGTCTACTATTATTCCATGTTCTGTTGTAAAAACCATTCATTCTCCACCAACATATTGTTCATCTTTGTGAGAAAATATCCCATGTTCGGTTGTCCATTGCTTAATTTAACAACGCATTAAAGAGATCTATCCTCCAATATACTTGAGGATTTACGCATTGGTTCAAAGATAAACATCCTTTTAGTACGCTGCTAATTATATAATGTCCTAAGACTTTTTTGTTGACATGAAAATGATGAAAATAATTACATATTTTTTTTCAAAATATTAGATAACGTTAAAATACATATAGTTTTAACAAAAGAATATTTAAAATATTAAACTATTACAATAAAATAAAATATTAAATTATTAGAATACGATATTAATTGTTAGTTTGGATACAATTTCCATAAATTTACAGCACAACATTCACTGGTATTCATCAATACTGTAAACAAGAACCAGTGGATAACAATCTATGACAAAACAGATACTCTCATAAGTTTCCCAACTTATCTGTCTAATTATTAGAAAATGGATTGTTGCTTGGCGATTTGATGGATAGCTTAAATTTTCTCAAACTTGCACACCAAGTTTACGTAAATATATAAACTAGAACTAGTGATTTTCCAAGAAAATAGAAAGAAACATACCAAGATTGTCGCCAACACGGAACTGTTGGGTCTTAGCCCAAGCTCTGTAGTCAACCTCCAATGTCCAACCTCGTTCTCCACCAACAGCATGATCAATGGCTCCATTAAGGGGGAAGCAAGCAGCCATAAGCATCATCACAAGAGCACTCACCATCTGTCGACAAGCCATCAGCAGGCAAATACCTCTCCCTCGGCTAATTTGTAGTATGGAACTTTATTTATGATAATTGATGGCCGGCTATTAAGAAAGTTTCCGCATTGAAATGATCTGAGCTATGACCGCGTTGCGGAGAAAAAGGAAACAAGGAGATAAAGAACAAGAAACATGGAAAGAAAAGAAAAGGGGATCAACCGTTTTCATGCTGCAATTGTCATCTCTCGTTTAGCAAAACATGACATAGGATTGTACTAAAGGTTGCTTGATCTTTAACCTGGACTATCTTGAGTCCATATGGAGTCCTAATGGACTAGACTCCAATTTTAGAATCAAAGTTGGCTGATCGCAGCTGGATCATGCATCCAATACCTACATGATCCAAGCTCGTCCTCTACCGGTTACCATTGGACTAGGTCTTAATTGCTGCTATCTGACAATTTGAATGACATAATTAGGCAAAGATGGAATCACCAAAACTTAAGAAAGAGTATACACTATAGCATGATTCCAATGACCAACTTTAATGACACCTAAGTCTTGCCATCAGAATTAAATTCATGTTACAAAGGTTGTTCAAGAATGCAAAGCATCATATTCATTCAGCGCATACATCTATACTGAGTCCGCACCTTCGCACCATGTACAAGAAGTTGTGCCACAACAAAATATGCAGACACCAAAAGAAGTATGCATGTAAATGACACAGCAATTGAGTTACATGACTGCCACTGGAAATGCTAACCGTAAAATTTCGACATGTAGATCTCAGTTTGCTCGGATTACAGATTACCCGAGCAATTGAATTGTCTCCATGATATCAGAAGTTCAAACTGACAGCAACCCAGCTATCGTCACTAAACGGTAGCAATGATGCACCTTCAGGCAACACCATCCCAGGTTTCTTTGGGTACACCCTGACTCTATTGCATTCAAATGAACACGCCATCTCTCTGATTGGAGATGCAGAGTTTACATCCACAACACAGTGGTTATCACAAGCGGATCCTGTGGAAGATTTGGTCTCATCTTCAGGAAAAGTGTCTTCAATAACCTCAACGTCTAGCTTAGGAAGAGATAAAATTGTCTTGTCAATATGAGCATTGCCATTTAGCATGTTTTCTTTTGAGCCCGAGTTTGTTCCCTGATCATCATGAACAACAGGAGCCATACTGACGATATCAGAGTCATTTTCTATTGCTTGGCCATCCTCATGATTTATACCTACATCAAGTTGAAGAAATGTATGGTTAAGAAGTTGCATTTGCAACCGTCAACTGAAAAACAAAACATTTAATACACCCTAGTACATCCAGCTTCTTCCTAAAAGACAAATGAGAGCTATGTCACATAATAGCAACTTCATCATAGCGATTTATCAAGCCATCGAAAATTTTTATCGAAGTGTTGAAATTAATCTAGAAATCTTGTCAGCAACCACAAACTTTTCCATAACCCCTATCACATTGTTTTGTTTGTTTTTCTCACTCTTCTTCCCTATTATGCGTCCCTCCTGTGGCTTATTAACAGTTTAAATGAAACAAGACAGAAGCATCTAAATCTAATGTCCTAAATTCTGATGAGTAACATTCATCCTTCGGTTCCAGAAAGGAGTGTATGAAGTTGTACATTTACTACAGGGCTTCCAGACATTGACTGTCAGTATATTATAGGTCTTGTAGGCTTCATATCTGGCAACTCCAGAAATGTCATTTTTCTTGTCCTTGTCCTTAATACATAGCAATACTGGTAGTAGTTACACTTGGACTCAAATGTGATATATGAATAGCATCCACACTATGCATGTAGCGACAAACAGTATGGTTCTGTGTGTATGATCGTGGCCATTGATGTATGGTTTGTCTTTTATTTTGGTGTTTAGACATGGTTTTCCCTCCATTTCTTCTTTTGCTATTTATGTTATGCAAGAGTCATGCACACAAAGGGAAGCCCTTTTTTCAATAAATATACATATGATCTGATGCCCGGTCTAAGGTGACACCAAAAGTGAGGCATCGTATCTCAATGAAAATTGGGACAGTCTATAAAACGCAAACCTATCTTAAGGAGGCTCCTTAGGAAAATCAGCGGGATTTTCTGAAATTATCCTGACCACACATCAATTTTCATTGAAGCAAAATAGTTTGGCATGGGGAAATATGTTCAGGAGAGGGTTATCATGAGCCCTAACATGCTAATTGATGCGGACGATGACTCAACATATCATATGTTCGCAAATCCAAAAAGTTCGAGATGCTACGTCCCAGTAGAAACCCACCAAAATTCACAAACACCGTATAGATTTACTTCTGATGAGCACCATATGCGCTCCATAAGCCAAGGAACCAGGAAACCACAACTTCCATATCAAGCTACATCAGTTTTAAAATATAGTTCAGAACTTAAATAAACATTATTTCCGCACTACATGAACAACAATAACAGAAACTTTCCCAAAAATCATTGAATATGACATTAGAAATTCCATTAGAAGATACAGCAGTTTTCAGCTATAGCCGAGTGATAGTCATTCCAGTTCGCAAATCTGCTTCCCATCCTTTACTCCATATAAATGTCCAAAATATAAAGTAGTACTATGATACCGAAAATACAGTGAATGGATCCTTTATGTAGCGAACCAGTTATGGTCTTATACATGACAAATAGTTCTATTTGCAACCCTTTATATGAAGGCAAGAACTAAAAGGTTGTATCAAAAGACTAAACATAATAATAAAAGCTAACAAATTTTCCAATTCATTTGAAGCAGATCAAACCGAAATATCACCTGCATTAGGAATTAACCAAAGCAAGTTCAAGAAGACAATCAAAACAAGGACTGTATGATCAGCATGACTGTAATGAGGTCCAATAGAACTAACCTTCATGGTCTGAGAAATCCAAGCTGACAGCAACCCACATATCATCGCTAAATGGTAGGGGGATGGCACCTTCAGGCAACACCATATCAGATGTACGTGGATAGACCCTTACTCTATTACAGAGCAGCGATGAATTCTCATTAGCAACAAGATGGTTAGAGCTCCTATTTCGAGGAATGCTGCAAATTCCTTGGTTGGCAGGAACCTTAGAATCCAGCTTATCGTATGATGCAGCTATCTTTTTAGTCAAGCCATTGCCACTGACCATGGTTCCCTCAGTTATATACGGATCCTGGTGATCTTGGAGATTTATAGGCATAGCCACAGTGCTGGAGCGATTGTTAACAGTACTTTCATCTTTTTGCTTTTTATCTAAAGCCAAGTTACAGAAAAGAACATGTCAACGTATGTTTTGTACATTTTGGTTGAGAAAATAACATCAAAATTCAACATTTTCTTTCTGACCGCACTGAAACAAGCATATCTCCTAATAGTATTCTTAAAATCATCATCTTCCAAGGCTTTTCACATCAACATGGAGACTGTTAATGAATTCTAAGTCAAGAAAGGCTCACAGTTAAGAACTTATGAGGATATAAAAAAGTTGGATGCTAATATGATTACATCACTCTATTAGTAGTTACTACACATCTGTCCAAGGCAATCATGGATAAAAGGCAAAGCTTGCCATAAGACTAATTGATGTAGTAACTACTTTCTTTGTTATGCAACTAGAGAGTATTTCATGACAAGAATCTACAAGACAGGAAGATGACAAGACTTTACAAGTACTGAATCATCCCTACAGGAAGATAAATTAGAGACCCAAATTCAAACAAATTAAACAACTCTTAGGGTGAACTCTCGAATGAGTTATCACTTGGCTCTCAGGTGTAGACATGCCATTAAGGCTTGGATTGGTAGGAGGTACAAGGAGGTACGGCAAGGTGAGGTGAGGTGCTCAGAAAGACATACATTATGTGCTTCTTGGTCGGTAATAAGGAGAGTGAGAGGACGTACACGACTTGCGTTCAATTTTCATTTTATCTCACCTCACTCATGTGTCCCTCCAATTCGGGGGGATACCTCCCCCTCCAAAGACCCTTCACAAAACAAGATTTTTGGTTTTGTCCCTCACCT